CATTTTGCAATTTTTCAACGTTTGAAGTGTTTTGGGTGTTTCTTGGGGTAAAAATGTTGGAAGATGATGTTTCATCAGTATCTTTTGATGTTGAAGAGTCAGCCACACTGGCACGTAATTCACTATTGGCCGAGAAATCAAAAAAAATATATAAAAAGGCGTACAAGGAATTTGAGAACTGGTATTTGATATTGTTTTGTTTTATTTTTCCGCTCTAGTTAGGAAAAATTTCACTTTTCCTAACCCAAATGAATGTGGAAAACTTGAACAATTAACAACCGAATTTTACAAAATATGTATTAATATGTATCTTGAAAACTTGAGATTCTTGAAAAATTGCCTAAAAATTCTCAAAAAATTCTAGGATATAAATTAGGTGACTAGAAAACATAAAGTGTTAATGATCCCCGAACAATATTTTCAAAAAATTAGGTTTGAAAATAACATTTTTTAAACATTTCGAAATCTCGAAGAAAGGCCAAAAATTCATATAGGGGGTATTGAAAAATTGAGATTTATGGTTCTCTGAAATCTTCTTAAAGATCCAAAAATATCAATCAAAATTTCTCTGTTCGGTTCTTCCAATAGATTAATAATGTCATCTCGAAATATAGTTCTAAAAAGAGTATCTAAAATGTCAATGTCTTCGATGTAACTTTCATCTATGGAGTTGTTCTTTCTTGATCCACAACATACAACTTTTCTTTTTTTTAATGGAAGACCCTATATATTTTTACGTTTTGCCCTCGTTGTAGACTTTATAATCATGGTTCCAAAAAAACTTCGTAAAGATCTTAAAATATCAAGCAAAATTTATCAGTCTTATCTTGACAAATACTAGCCCCGCCCACCCACCCTTTATTTTCTTAGAGACTTTCAAAGTCAATCTTATCTTAACAGGTAGTAACCATGCTCACTCGCCTTTTATTTTCTTAGGGAGTAGGTCATTTTTCAAAATCAGTTTTATCGTATCAAATACTAGCCCCGCCCGCCTACCCTCTATTTTCTTAGAAAGTATGCCATTTTGCCAAATTCAGTCTTATCTTATCAAGTATTAAAAACCAGAAAAAAATTATCCATCCTCTTCGGAAAAGTCATCAACGTCATCAGTTGAAATTACGAAATAAATCTTTACAAAAAAAAGTGCATAAACTAAAGTAATTTCGGGCTCTACTGTATTCTATTTTTGAGACACAACTGTAATTTGATTTTTCTTTTTGATAGGACCGCTATATACAAGGTGAGTCACTAAGCACCCGTTCTTCGATATTTCGGTAATAATTAAAGAGACAAAGAAGTTTAGCGTATCCTAAAATTATTTTCAACTATAGACTTGTTCTTTCTCGATCTGTAACATACAACTTTTTTTTTAATCGAAGATCCTATATATTTTACATACTCCAATTACCCTCGTTGTAGACTTTATAATCATGGTTACCAAAAAACTTCGTAAAGATCTTAAAATATCAGTCAAAATTTTTCAAGCTTATCTTGGCAAGTACTAGCCCCGCCCACCCACCCTTTATTTTATTAGAAAGTAGGTCATTTTCAAAATCAATCTTATCTTAACAGGTAGTAGCCATGCTCACTCGCCTTTTATTTTCTTAGGGAGTAGGTCATTTGCTAAAATCAGTCTTATCTTGGCAAGTACTAGCCCCGCCCACCCGCCTTTTATTTTCTTAGAGAGTATGTCATTTGGCAAAATCAGTCTTACCTTAGCTAGTGCTAGCCCCGCCCACCCACTCTTCATTTTCTTTGAGAAAATGTCATTTCCCAAAATCAGTCTTATCTTATTAAATACTGACCCCACCCGCCCACCCTCTATTTTCTTAGAAAGTATACCATTTTGCCAAATTCAGTCTTATCTTAGCAAATATTAGCCCCACCCGCCCGCCCTATATTTTCTTGGAAGGTATGTCATCTGCCAAAATCAGTCTTATCTTAGCAAGTACTAGCTAATAATGAAACAGAGAGAAAGAAGTTAAGACGAAACTTATATATAGTTCTTTAGCAAACACTAAAATTATTTTCAACTATAGAGCTTTTTTTTTTAATGCAAGACCCTATATATTTTTACATACTTCGAGTGCCCTCGTTGTAGACTGTAATCATAATTCTTAAAAAACTTGGTAAAGATTCGAAAATATCAATCAAACCACTAGTGTTTATTCAGGAATTCAAGAACCTGAAAAAAAATTATTAATCCCCTTCAGAAAACTTGACGTCATCAGTCGAAATTATGAAATAAGTTTAACTTGTTTTTTTTAATAGAACCCGCTATATACAGGGTGAGTCACTAGGCGCGCGTTCTTTGATATCTCATTATTTATTAGAGATATAAAAATTAAGACGAAAGTTACAACTTTTTTATGCAGGAACCTATATATTATTACTTGTGAAATTCCGTCAATTAAATTCATTTTTATTATAGAAGCTTTATGAAAAATTCCAAAAATTGCAGTTTTCAAATATCCATATTTTATTTATTTATTTATTTATTATCAAATGGAACATCCTATTTTAATAGTGCATCTTGTGGTTGTGGTGTGTATCTTAAAAAGGTCAAAAATTGAAGAAACTATCAACTTATATCTAAAAAATATTCAACAAAATGCATAGTTTTATTTATCTCTCCATGAAATACTGTAACAGATTTTAAAAATAACCCTATTGCTATTTTTTTTGTGAATCGTTACATAGCTGCAAAATTTCAGGAAAATTGGAAGAACGTGGCAACATCGCATCGGAATTTCAAAAATAATTTACCGTTTTAAAGACTAGGAAGAGAACATGTGATATAAGGTATTCTATATAAAAAACTTACGATACCTAAGATCGCTCGCTTGGTGACTCAGCCTGTATATTTTTATATGCTCTAAATAGTGTCTTCTTAAGCATAGCAAATATATCTCATTTTTCAAATTTCGTTGCGACGTTCGAAATTTATTCCAATTATCTGGAATTTTTTAACAGTGTAGAGGTCCATATTTTTTTTTTTGATAAATAAACAAAGTACATCTTTTCCTGCAATTTCAATTAAATTAACTCTTAGGATAGAGAGTGTTTATAAAAAATCTAAAACGTTAAAATTTTCAAATACTCACATCTCGTTGTCTCCACATAAAACACTACACTAAATAATTATTGAGATATTGACGAGCGCGCTTTTATTGATTCACCCTGTATAAACAAAAATAGTGTCTTAGAAATGGTCATTTAGTTTCTTTGTCTAACACTGTTCGGTGTTATAGAGTCACTATTTTTATCAACAAAAAATTTGTATTATAAATATATCTTAAATAGTCTTTATTCTTAACCAAAATGAAAAAAATTGGCAAACCTGAGTTAAATTTTATCTGATAAAGATTAATTTAAAAATATGAAAGTTTTATTTAAATTTTATTGTGTGTCCAACTTAGCCTATGCTAAGGAAGTATTGTAAAGAGCTACTTTCATGTTTTCTCGACATTTCATGACCGTCTGAGTACGCAAAATTTCCGTTTGTCTGTCTGTGCCAATTTTTATTTTATCTCCAAAACTACTGGACCGATTGTCGTCAAATATATATGCTTGTTAGGAATATTGTTACCTATGTTTTAACAGTGCACACATATCTATATCTTAACTTATAGGGGTTATCATAAAATAATTAAATTCGCAAAACTAAATTTTATCATTTTTGCGAAAAATCTGTATTTTTTCGCATATATGTCAGGGAAGGAAAATTCTGTCTAAATAAATTTGGACCATTTTTTTCTTTTTATTGACTGATTATTAATAATTATAATTGTGGATAAATTAACTGCAATCATCTAGCTGAAAATTACCACATAAAAATTACTTTTAGTTTCACGTATTGAAAATGAAATATTACAACGCAAATTGTACTGTTTTAAAGGTAATTTGTTTTTCTTAGTCAAACAGTGCCTCAAAAACCGTAATTTGTGCCTGACAAGTCCTATTCAAGCTTGACAGTAAGCACTTATTTTACTTAAAATTTAAAATGCAAAGTTGATTCCTGAACAAACAAACGAATCAATAGTATAAATTACCTACCATTTACGTTGAAATAGTGAAACAATGTCGGTTACGAAATAGAGAAATAGATAACCCTTGTTACGTATTCTTCAACTTGGCACTCGCCAAGAATAGTTTTCGCAGCAGAAAGAAATTTAATCCCTTACGTCCCAGCTTGAATTTAGAACACATCACACATCACGATATTCTTCTTCATCGTATTACCCGGAAATCCTCCCTTTCATCGCCGTCCAATAACATCTCCTTAACAGCACTACAAAACCTGACACATGCATCTTTAGTTTCCCCGACACGATCCAACAGGTGTCGCCTTGTTGGTTCGTTCGTAATTTCGATAAAAGGCGACAAAGTTTGTATGTGTGTCTGACTAGAGGAAGAATTTACGATCGCAATAAGGTGAGCGTAAAAACAGCAAGCGAAACGGAAAGATCTTATCCAGAGCGAGCTAAGGTAGAACGGAACCGTGTTCCGGCACGAAGCACGTTTCTTATTAGCGATGTGTAATTAGTTTCATACACAAAACACGTGGAGATGACGTCGCGACGCTGACACGTCGCTTCGCGTCTCCGGTGCACAAAACCGAGCTTATACAGAATTATTAAGAGGATAAAAACGACGACTCCCCCTGGATTTTTTTAGGAAATTGGAATGTCAGTTATTACGAAAACAAAACACGCTTTTGCTTTGTTACGTTATAGCGCCGTAACAAGGTTTATTAGCCTGTCGTTAGGGGACGATGGGGTTGTGGATACGTCAAAAACAGGTTAGCTTCTTGTACGCACTGTAACATAATGAAAATATTTTTGTCGGGTCGAAAAACACTAATGGCATGTCGTCGACCAGAAATTCGAAGAGAGTTTAACGTTTTGCGATCTAACAGACTTTCCACGTTTAGGTTATAGAATATGTCCTGATTGGGAGCAACAAACAACGCTGTGTAATCAGATGTTTCCTCGCTCTCGTTAAAATAACAAAAATTTTATTAAAACTTAAAACACGAAATATTGCATACCTACAATTAACATTAAATAAAATTAATTTAATGACAATTAATTTCCATCTGATTTAACTCTAGGTCTAACCATCATCCTAACTTCCTTGAGACTATAAGCTGTCCCCCGAAAAGTCTGCCAGAACATAATTTTATCTTTGTGTTCTTGGGAAACTTCTCCTTTCAAGTACTTTCCTGTGAGAAGACTTTTCATACAATAGTTATACCACCAACTTGCATCTACAATGTTGTTTCACATTCTGATTAAAACTGGCAACAAGTAAACCGAAATACCTACCGAAATATTCAGCACAACTTGCCGTGGATGACTTATCAAAATCCTTCGTCTTTGTACTAAATTTCATATTGTTACTATAAGACAAAGAGTCTCCAGCGGTACCGTTATACCCTGACACAGTCATTACATAACCTTCATCTTCACTACCCACCCTGAAACGATCATAATAGGCGTACACCGATTGGTCGTTCCAGTCTACTAGTTCTACCAGCAACTCGTTCATTTTATAACCTGAATTATTAGTTCTAACTCCTCATTATATTATTAATTGGTTTAACGTCTTACCAGTTAAATAATAAACGTTATCTAAACCCAGCCAAAACTCACCCGAAAGTTTACCAAAACCTTTTTTATAATCTTCTAAATCGAAATCAAAGCTTTGTGACCCATCAAATCTGTTAAGAATATATGTCCATCCACCTCCTTTCTTTTCTAAATCGCACAGAACTTTTGTGGCGTTAGGGGCAAAGTCTGGTTTGATTAGGTAAGTGGTGGAAACATCGTAACCCCTGTCTTTAACTTCTCTACAATTAGTTGGAGGGTGTTGGTGTTGCTTAAGCCAATATGCTTGTACATTTTTTGATTCAAGAGTCGTCAGACAGTGTGTTAATTGTTCTGACGTTAAATTGTTTGTGGATTCGAGAGCTTCTATACGATGCTTTAGCTCTGTTTCTAGAGCTTTGAGTTTGGTGTTAAGATTTTCAATCTGTGAGGTTAGAGCTTGTTCGACACTGAGGGAGTTGGATGGTCGCTGGCTTGTAGAAACAATGTCAAACTGTAAAAGATATTGCAAAGACTAGTCCATAAAACACTGTTTACTTACCTTTTCTTGATCGTTTTCAGATGAAAATAAAATCAAATTTAATGATAAGCATAAAGTGAAAAATGATTTGCGAATCATCTTCTTGTTAAGCAATAAACCACTGATTGGCGACTTATGTTGGTCACCGATTACACATTTTGTGGAATTTATAGGTCAGTTGTGATAAGAGAAAGAAATAATAAGTTGGTTGTGTTCATTTTCTACTGATTTCATACGCAAAACTAAACTCTTAAGAAAATACTGAAACAATTTTTTTTTAATTATATTTTGAAATCGAATATTTCCAAAATTTTCGTCATAAAACGCTGTGTTTTTGGAATCAACTCGTCGAGCTCTATATCTCAGGATTTTTTGTGGATTTTTAGACAATTTTTCCAAATGCTCAATTTTCCTCTTACGAAATTTTTAACCCTTTTAGAATCGCGAAATGAAATATGGGCCATTACTGGGATTTCTAACGAAAATTCGATTCCGAAACCGAATATTTCAAAAATTTTGGTCTGGAACCATTAAAACGCTGTGTTTTTCGAATCAACTCGTCGAGGTCTATATCACAGATTTTTTTGTGAATTTTTAGACAACTTTTCAAAAAGCCCTTTTAACGAAATTTTTTACGTTTTTTCAAGCTTATTTATCAAATCCCAATTTTTTTTGAAAATTAGATTTTGAAGTCGAATATTTTCAAAATTTTAGTCTGGGACTATCAAACACGCGATGTTTTTCGAATCAGCTTGTCGAGATATATGTATATATCTTAGATTTTTTTATGGATTTTTAGACAATTTTTCCGAATTTTTTTCTTATGAAATTTTTCGCCTTTTTCCGAACTTTTTCGAAAATTACCCAAACAGAATTTTTGGTCGATTCCGATTTGCGGAAGTCATTTTCGGCTTTATTTATTCGAAAATTCCAACTATTCTTAGAGTCGCCATTAATGGGAATTTTAACGAAAATTCGATTTCGAAACCGAATATTTCCAAAATTTTGGTCTGGAACCATTAACACGCTGTGTTTTTTTAATCAACTCGTCAAGGTCTATACTTCAGAATTTTTTGAGGATTCTTAGACAAAAAAGGTGCAGTTTTTCACTCCCCTTTTAACGAAAGTTTTTACTCTTTTTCAAGCTCTTTCGAAAATTACCAAAGGAAAATTTTTGGGTGATTCCAATTTACGGAAATTATTTTCGGCTTAATTGCATCGAAAATCCCAACCATTTTTTAGAATCACCAATTTTTATCGAAAATTAGATTTTGAAGTGGAATATTTTCAAAATTTTGGGCTGGGACTCTTAATGTTTTTCGAATCAGCTCGTCGAGATCTATATCTCAGATCTTTTTCTGGATTTTTAGACAATTTTTCCTAAAGCTCAATTTTTCTCTTACAAAATGTTTAACCTTTTTCTGAGCTTTTTCGAAAATTACCTAAAGAAAATTTTTGATCGATTTCGATTTGCGGAAGTCATTTTCGGCGTCATATATTCGAAAATTCCAACCACTTTTCGATCTGAAACCATCATTTCGAATCAGCCCATCGAGATCTATATCTCAGAATTTTTTGTGGATTTTTGGAAAACGTTTCAAAAGCTCAATTTTTCAATACAACAATACAATTTTTGGTTGAATCCGATTTACGGAAGTTAATTTCGGCTTAATTGCACCGAAAATTCCAAGCATTTTTTAAAATACCCAAAATGAATTTTTATTGAAAATTAGATTTTGAAGTGGGATATTTTCAAAATTTTGGTCTGGGATTATTAAACACGCGTTTTTTTTTTCGAATCAGCTCGTCGAGAAGTATATCTCAGAATTTTTTGTGGATTTTTAGGCAATTTTTCCCAAAGCTCAATTTTTCTCTTACGAAATTTTTACCTTTTCCCGAGTTTTTCCGAAAAAATTATCCAAAGAAAATTTTTGATCCATTTCGATTTGCGGAACACAATTTTGGCTTCATTTATTCGAAAATTCCACCCATTTTTAGAATCGCCAACACGAAATATTAATTAATTAGGATTTTGAACGAAAATTCGATTTAGAAACCGAATATTTCCAAAATTTTGGTGTGGTACCATTAAAACACGCTGTTTTTCGAATCAGCTCATCGAGATCAATATCTCAGAATTTTTTGTGGATTTTTAGACAACTTTTCAAAATCTCACTTTTTCCATACTCACCTTTTAACGAAAGTTTTGACCTTTTTCCGAGTTTTCGAAAATTATCCGAAGAGAATTTTTTAATTGATTTCTATTTGCAGAAGTTATTTGCGACTTAATTTCTTCGAAAATTCCAACCATTTTTTGAATCGCCAAAATGAAATATGCCCATTACTAAAATGTTTATCGAGAATTAGAAACCGAAACTGAATATTTCGAACATTTTAGTCTGAGAATATTAACAAGCTGTTTTTCGAATCACCTTGTCGAGATCTATATCTCCGAATTTTTTGTGGACTTTTAAACATTTTTTCCAAAAGCTAAATTTTTCGATAGTCCTTATAAATTTTTTTATTTTTTTCCCAGCCCTTTCGAAAATTACCCAAACATTCATTTCGCTTTCCCAAAGTTATTTTCCACTTAATTTCTTGGAAAATTTCAACCGTTTTAGGATAGCCAAAACGTAGCCATTATTTAGATTTAACAAAAATTACATTTTGAATCCGAATATTTCAAAAATTTTTGTTCTGAGGCTTTTAAAAACAAGGTATGTTTTTCGAATCAGCTTGTCTCTGAATTTTTCGTGTATTTTGAAACATCGTTTCAAACGCTTAATTTTTCAAAACAAAATTTTGGAAATTTTTGACTTTTTTCCGAGTTGTTTGGAAAATTTCCCAAAGAGAATTTTCGGTTGATTTCGATTTGCAGAAGTTATTTTGAACTTTAATTCTTCGAAAATTCCAGCCATTTTTTAAAATCGCCAAAAAATTGAGATTTAATAAAAATTAGACTCAGACCGAATATTTCGGAAATTTTGTTCTGAGGATAGCCTCAGAACAAAATTAATTTTATAGTTAAAAAACATAGTTTGTTAATAGTAACAAACTATGTTTTTCGAATTAGCTTGTCGAGATCTATTTCTCAGAATTTTTCAAGCACTCAATTTTTCGATACTCCACTTTTACGAAATTTTTGACCTTTTTCCGAGCTGTTTCAAAAATTACCCAAACAGAATTTTTGGTTCATTTCGATTTCCCGAAGTTATTTTCCACTTAACTTCTTGAAAAAGTTCAACCACCTTAGAATAGCTAAAATGTAGCTATTATTGAGTTTTAATAAAAATTAGATTTTTAAACCGAATATTTCGAAAATTTTTGTTCTGAGGCTATTAATATACTTCGGAATTTTTTGGAGATTTTTAAATAACTTGTCAAACACATTTTTACTTTTTTCCGAGTTGTTTGGCGAAAGAATTTTCGCTTGATTTCAATTTGCAGAAGTTATTTTGAACTTAAATTCATCGAAAATTGCAACCATTTTTTAGAATCGCCAAAAATTTAGATTTAATAAAAATTAAACTTTGTGACCGAATATTTCGGAAATTTTCGTCAGCTCGTCAAGATCTATACCTCAGAATTTTCTGTGGATTTTTAGATATTTTCAAAAGCTTAATTTTTCCCCTTTTAACGAAATTTTTTACTTTGTTCCGAGCTTTTCCGAAAATTACCCCGAAGAGAATTTTGGTTGACTTTGAATTGCTGCGGAAATAATTTACGATTTCATTTCTTCGAAAATTCCAACCATTTTTAGAATCCCCCAAATTTGGCCATTATTGAGATTTTAACAATAATAATAATTAGACTTTGAAGCAGAATATTTAAAAAATCTTGGTCTTGGATCATCAACACCAACACGCTATGTTTTTCGAATCAGCTCGTCGAGATCTATATTTCAAAATTTTTGGGGGATTTTTCGACAACTTTTCAAAAGCTCAATTTTTCGATTCCCCATTTTAAGAAATTTTTGACCTTTTTCTGAGTTGTTTCGAAAATTATCCGAAGAAAATTTTTGGTTGCTTTCGATTTGCAGAAGTTATTTTCGACTTAATTTCTTCGAAAATTTTTGGAATCGCCAGAATAAAATATGCCCATTACTGAGATTTTTAAGTTAGACTTCGAAACCGAATATTTCGAAAATTTTGTTCTGAGATTGTTGACACGCTATGTTTTTTGAGCCAGCTCGTCAAGACAGCTTTTTTAAAAGTTCATTTTTCGATACTCCCACTTTCCGACATTTTTTACCTTTTTCCGAGCTGTTTCAAAAATTATCCAAAACAAATTTTTTATTGATTTCGATTTGCAGAAGTTATTTTCGACTTAAGAATTTCTTCCAAAATTCCAGCCATTTTTTAGCGTATCCAAAATGTGGCCACTATTGAGATTTCATAAAAATTAGATTTTGAAACTGAATATTTCGAAAATTTTGGTCTGGGACCACTAACAGGTTATGTTTTTCGAATCGACTCGTCAAGATTTATATCTCACAATTTTTTTGGTGATTTTTAGAAAACTTCTCGAAAGCTCAATTTTTCGATAGTGCCCTTTGTCATTTTTTTTTTCTATCTTGATTGCTCGCTTTTCAAACCTCTCGTATTCTTGAAACAGATCCCTTTTTATTTTCACCTTTTTCCAACATCTTATCTTCTCAGTGTCATTTTCTTTCTAAATGTATTAGATATTTTTGATTCATTTTCTAATTCTTTGTCGTCTGATATACTGCTTCAGTTTTTCTTTTTACTTCTCGAGCGCAATCTAAGGAAGTATTGTAATAATAAATTCATGACCCCCCAGAATACAAATAAATAGGTCTCCCGTTTCCGCCTGGCTGTCTGTCGCTTGTGTCGAATGTTAGTAGACAGACAATCTCCTAAACTACTGGACCGATTGTTGTCCAATTTGCTATGTATAGTTTTAGAGATGTTATATATGGTAAAGCTGTAACCAAAATTTGGTTAATCATCGCCATCAACAAATTGAAGACGTCATCTCAAAATTTTATAGGTACATTAAAGTTATTAAATATTATACAATAATATACTCCTACACTTGTGGTACATTAGTCTTCTTTGAGTTTCTCTCCAAGGCATAAAAATTTTCGCAACAATCAGACAAACACCTCAGGATCCTCACAATACCGAAAATTCCGACAAATCTCTACTTGCTTCAACAGCTACGCTGTCATCTTTAAGTTTTAAACTAAATCAGGAAAATATTTTATATAAAAATGTTCTAAAACAAATCAAGACTCAATGTATTTTTGTGGTAGTCGCTGTTAAAACAATGTAGTCTTCCATGGTCAACATGTGTGTGACAGTGGTCCAAGGTGATAATGACAATTCTTCTATTGTGTTGAAACGTCTATGTCATATATGTGGTTATCATTTTGGCTAGTTGTGTTCTAATAAAATCGTCAATCCTTCGTCAACTGACTCGTAAATGCTACCTTTCACACCATAAAATTTAACGGCAGCCGTACGTGATAGTATTTGGATTTTATCTGTGCCTTGTTGATTGAAAGTTGGTCAAGTTTCATAATTTTTACAAATCATTAAACCACAGAACATCACTGCATTGTACAGAAGCTTGTGATCAGTTAAAAGTCGTCAAAATTCGTTTTCCGAACGAACACGAACTCATGGCGCCTAATTTAAAAATACAATTCTAAAAAAAAGTTGTTGACAAAGCGAAGAAAACTTTTACAAAGTAATGATCCAGAGAACGAGGAAAAAATCCATTTCAGCGTGTTCTCCCCCGATATTACAAAAACGCGTTTGTATTTTTGTCTACAAGAAAGTTTCTTGTTTCAGTTTTGGATGTACAGCAAGGAAGGCGAGATTCGACGCGACGAGGCCTGTTTAGATTATAGTGGGCAGGAGGTGATTCTCTATCCATGTCACGGCAGCAGAGGCAACCAATTTTGGGATTACAACCCGAGTAGCAAACTTTTAAGACACGGTAGCAGCGATAAATGTTTAGCCATAAACGAAGCGAAAAATAAACTATTAATGGAGCAATGCGACGGCGACTCCAGTAGACAACAATGGTCGTTAGAAAACTACGACGCCAACAAATTGTGATTATATAGTTCAATTTCTTGCTAGTGTGTGGCAAAAGACATATATTTTTATTTTTTATAACTATTTGATACTTTATTTCTTCCTCCTGTGTTATGAGGTGTACAAAGTTATTGTATAAAAGATGTGGATTTGTTTAGTGCGGTTTTACAGTTTTATAATGAAATGTCTATTAAAGCAACTCGAGTAGAATGTAGTTTCGATTTTTATCATAACGATAGAGACTGTGTCTATGTAAAATATCAGAATTCCATAACTTATACATATCCAATTGTTTTAGTGCTCAATTTTATTAATATTATTGTTACATTCCGTTAAGCCGTGCTTAAGTAAAAAATTTAAGACTGTAAATAAACTGTTAACATATCTTAAAACATTATCACATTCTTTAGAGCGGCCTCTGTATATACAAAATTGTACTTAATTTCGGGCCCGAGCGCCCATGGACGTTTTAGTTAATTTCAAAGGAAAACTATCATCATGTGATAATATTAGTCTTTTAAGTAACGCATCACCCATTATTTTTATGTAAATATTGGTATTCTTTATTTGCTCAATTTTCGTTCCCTTTTTGTGTCAATTATTATTCTTAAAGGGCCATAAAACAACGTTGTGTATATAAACCCGCGTTATTGAACGACAGTATTTTATTAATCTTTTTTGTCACTTATGATTTCAATTCAATTATTCATCAGATTTTTACGTGGATAACATAACAATGTACTTAATATTAAATTCAATTATTGTACTAGAATGTAAATGTAGGCCAGTGTATGTATTTTTATAACGTGCCTTAATTTTGTGTAAATAAAACGTTAATAAAATTATGTTGATATCAACAATCATCATTAATTCTTATTGTTCCTTCGTCATTAACACAAACTTCCAATTACCTACCGGTCACCATAGCGACAACCAGTGACATCAATAAACTCAAACGTCAAGATGGAGTCGCAGTGGTATTACTTTCCGGGTCAAACACCACAGAATACTAAAATATCAGATCGTGCTCACGCTCTTCACATCACTAAAGACGCATGGAGCAACATCACCCAACACCTAGATCGAAAAAAGAGAATACAAGAGGCCATAGACCGAGAACACGCCCACAAAGAAGCCCTCAAGCAGGGCTCGGAAGAAATGACCAAAAAATGGCCCAACTCCGTCCAAGTATGTTATCCTCAGAACGTTATTTTTGTGTCCACTACAAGTTTATTAAATACTAATGCTACATTTATCATAAAATTTTAGTGAAACAAAAATAACGTTCTGACTATACAAATTTTAGAACCTGCGCTTGCGCAAGGAAGAGGAACGTCGGCACCGATTCGAAGGAAGAGGAAAAGAAGACAAAACCGCGTTGTATTACAAAATGCGAGCAGAACAAGAAGCAGTGCGCAAAGAGTACATCGACAAAATCAAAAAAGAAGTGTTTATATCACAGGGATACCCGAAAGAACTGACATCTGCGTTAATCCTGTCGGAAACTTTATACGAACGAGAAAAACAAAAAGAATTCCGTGCCAAGATAAAACAGCACGACATAGAAGTCAAAAACCGGTTCGATGCAGACATTGTAGCAGCAGACGCGAAATACCTCCAAGACAAAAAAGAACAAGAACAAATTAAGCGACAAAAGGCCCGGAAAGAAGGAGAGTTCCTCAGAAACCAGTAACCCGAAAACACACTATAACGCCTAAAATACAGTTTTAATTTCAGGATTAAAGAGCACGAAGAAACTGAGAAAAGAATGAACCGCGCGCATATTGAAAAAGAAATTCGCGATCGCATCAAAGCAGCCGAAGAAGAAGAACTGATAAAGCAGTACGAACTTGATATAATAGCGAAGAAGCGGAAGGAAATAGCCATGCAGAGGAAGAAAGCAATGAATGACCAACACAAAAGACAACAACTTATTGCCAAAGATGAGGAGGAAATGGAACAAGCGACAAAGTTTTACAGTGAAGCTAGACAACGTATCGACTGTATGATGAAAATTAAAGACAAACAAATGCGAGATGAAATAGCTAAACATCAACAAGAACTGCACAGTCATGTTGTTGCACTACATGAGGCTAGAGATGCTGCTGAAAAGGCAAGACTTGATAACGCTATTGCACAGATGGAGGCGAAGTAAGTACTTTTTTAAGTCAATTCAATTTATATAAGACGACCGTAGTGACAAAGCCAAAGCTGAAGCAAAAGCAAATGTCAAAGCAAAGAACAGGCGCGAAAGAATCGAAGATCGGGAAGAACATTTCCGAAAACAAGAACGAGAAAAAGAAATCGACAACGAAATGAAGAAGTGGGAGATGCTGAATAGAATGAAAACTGCAGAAACTATGAAGGAGCACGACGCTCAGAATCGAAAAAACAACTGGGAAAAAATATTACAGTACAGACGAGATTTATTGGAACAAATGGTATTTTTGTAGTATTCGTTTGAATAAAATTATAACGACGTTTTAAGGCCGATGATAGGGCAGCACAGAAACGGGAAAAAGAAATTGATGAAATTATGAGCCACGTAAGCTATGACGAGGCTGACAAGATGTTCTTTGATTATGCCAACGAGGTCCTAGAAATGGCGAAAAGCAAAAATCGCTCGACACATCCCATTGAAAAAGTCATTGCTGTAAGTATGTTTAGTTTCTCTGAATCCAGCTCTAATGCACATCACTGTAGGATTATAAGAAAACCAACAACTTATCACCCCGGCAGCGCCCGAGGTGTGTCATAAAATGAAGTTTACACCCGATATTCTATAATATTTTGTTATCTACAGAATTTGCCTTTCAATGAATCAATAAAGACTTGCAAGCAAAAAATTTGTAAAGTTATTGACACTGAATTTCCCCCATATACCATTTTATAAATGACGTCACCAAATAATTTTGTTCGTCGGACATACTGTATATTCACACGACAATTCTCACGTTGGCAGCCCTGAAATCTGAACGCCACATTTTGACATTTCTCACAAACATAACCACAAAAGTAACAAACACATTTTCGTTATATAATAAGTCCTGGAACTAAATCATGGGTCGTAAAATTCCCGGCCGAAAACACCGCGGAGTCCGCGACCCCGAAAAACAACGAATTGAAAGATTCAAAAGGTACTGTTCCCACATCACAAACCTAACCTCAAACTTACCCACATTTTAGAATAAAAGACAAAATAAACGCACCCCCGACCGATCCAGACGAGCAGCACGTCCCTAAAAGCCTGCAACGCCTCTCCGAACTTCAAAGAAGAGCGAAAAACGGAGATTTTACGCGCAAAAAAACGAAGAAACCGCGACCGAAGGAAATGTTTGAGCAACACCCCGATGAGCCAGATCGCCTCTTTTTGCTGCGGGTTAAGCGCGAGTGTGCTATGATTCAGCACGAGGCCGCCTTTCAGCAAAAATTCGGCGTGGAAGTGAAACGAAACGCGGAAGGAGAGATCGAAGAAGTGAGGAAGCTGCCAAAAGATCCGGTTCAGATGATGCTGAAGGAAGCGCGCAAACAGAAAAAGGGGAAGAACGCGAAAACGAAGGAAAGTAGCGAACCGAGGTTGACGAAATCGCAGAAAAGGCGGCTAAAACTGGCGGAGAGAAAGAAGAAGAAAATGGATGGAAAGGTGGATGGATTTAAAAAGTTTGAAGATAGAGTGAAGTTTGGGGAGCAAGCGCATGCGCCGCCAACGCTGACGGCACCCAAAAAAGTTAAAAATAGGGATGAGGTGCCAAGGGTAAAGTATTGTGAAAATTTAATTTCGAAATCTGAATTTTGTTGTTTTGTAGCCTGGAAAAAAGGATTTGTTGTTAAAGTCGGTGCTTAACAAGACTAGCAACAAAGTTATTGACAGAACTGGGAAGCGGAAAAATCTGCCTAATGCTCTTAGAAGACAACTAGATAAACAACAGAAGGAAATTGTTGACGCCTATAGATCGATAAAAGGAAAAAAACTAAATATATTACAGTGAAACAAACGCAATATATAGAACTATTTTATTAACAAAGTACAAAACTCTTTCGTATCAAAAATATACATAACGCAACATTTTCTTTTAATGAAAATAAATATTTTATTAAGTAAAATGTTAACACAAACTGACTCCAGCTTCTGAGAATTTTTGAATTTGGGTCTCAAGTCCAAGAATTTTGGAAGCTATTGGAGCTACATTAACTAACATCTAACAAAAACATTTTCTTAATATTTCAGTAAACAAAACAGCACTAAGGTAACTTAAAAAATAAGTTCTTGAGATTCATGATCAAAAATTGCTTAAATTGTGTTAATTTCCACGCTTGGATAGGCAACGTAAGGTTGTTTTGACTTTAAAGTCTCATAAATGCCTAACACTAATTCCCGGAAAATGATAGGATTCACGTTTTTACCAACGTGGTATAGAACAAAAAAATCTCCATAAGTGAACTTGTCAATTATGAACGTTGCTTGCTTACTTCCAATAAATCTAGCTTGTGCCATTAATAAGTAAATTCGCAACTTTGGCAGAAAAATAATGAACATACGATAAATCAAAGACAAAACTGTAACAGCAGAAAGAAAAAACAGCCAAAACCACAGCACTATGAACAACTTTTCATTTAAAATATTTAAGGGTAGAACACAAAGAGCGTCAATATTTTGCACTGACCCTGAGGGACCATAGTAATAATACTGGCATTTAGTCAGTTTTGGAAACACCTGGTTCATGGGGTTTACATCACCTTCCATCATCAAACTAAACCCATAGAACGAGAACTGCCCTCCCAGGAACCAGTCCATGAGAAAAATTTGGGACACCTAATAATAAATTATGACGTCGGAAATTTAATTAAAAATGGTTACTTACCACGTTGACTAGATTCAAAATTTCGCACATAACGTACCGAATGGCATACAACTTATGGAAGTATTTACCATTTATTAGGTACTGAATCATTTGGGATTTGGTTGTTGGATTCCAGGCGGCCGTCACTAGAGGAGTGTTCAAATCGCTGACTAACAAACGAATGCGGCCCCCTTCCCATGTCTTCCAGAGATACCGTGGCAAGTAAAACAGGAGAGCTTGGAAGCAGAAAACAATGCAAACCCATTGGTAGTACTTCTGCCAGATGATGCGCTCGTCGTCGTCTTTCATCCAGGGGGCGACTTTTCTACGTTCGTTACCCAGGCCAGGAATGTGACCAGTCTTACCTAAACAAACAATAGTACCAGTACTCAATTTTCAAAAATTTTACCTTTTAGTGTGTCTCTATTGATGTATGTTCCATAAATCCAGCAGTACATCTCAATAACGTGCTTCTTTTCCGCCACATGACACTCAATGGGGTCCCCGAAATACTGCTTACTTGTTAACAAGATCGAAAACACAATTAACATAATCACAGTTAACTTGTAATGCAACCTGAACACATTGTTGTCAGTACGTATTTGTTCTACCTTCACTAAGGACTTAAAAGAGTTCAAAAAGTCCATCATTGTAATTTATTTCAGCGTTTTTCATTGAAACACTCGCACTCTTTCAGATTCAGATGATGACTGAAATGGCGCCAATTCATATACGTTATGACCGCCTACATAAGGACGAATTTTCCATAAAAATCGTCCGCCGAAAAAAGGAAGTTTTTTGTTAGTAATTAAAAGTTTTTACTGGTTTTTTCCTCGTTAATGCTGGTTTTATTGTTATTTACAAGAATCCTTTTATGACATTTCGAACTATATCAAAGTGCCGACGCTCTTGTGTTTTCCAGTAGTGCCACACAAATTTTTGGAAAAATTTAATTTTGACTATTATGTCGTCACATGTCGTATTACCACACAAGAATTGGGAAGATTTTAATTTGACCACGCCGTGATAGTAAAGTTGTGTGCGAGTTCGCACCGTCACACGTAAAAAATCACGATTGTGGGTTTTTCAAAATTCGGATCAAGTGACAAACGCGATATTTTTCGCGCGGTAATTCGAACACAGGTGTCGGCGGAAATGGTGTCCGGGCCGACGCATGCGTACCAACCTGGCAACAACTAGAAATAGACTTAAAAATGGCGTCATGCTTCGACGGTCATTTAGATGTTTGACGAGAATTTCAAGTTGAATCTGTGTGATTTCGAGTGATATTTGTGCGAATTTTTTAATTAAAAGACTTTTACGGATAGGTAAGTCGTCTTTAATTAATACTAACCATGAAATCTGTTACCGCTTCAGTGGGGTTTGTTCGTGAATGGCGTCGTAAAAATTGTCTTTACCACCGCAAGACTGCAAAACCCCGTCTAACAACAATTTTGCTCGATTTCCCCGCATACAACTCCGTCAAATCTTGACAAAAATCGGCGTTGTCCGGTTGCATTGTTGCGATTTATTTTTCGGGGTTGCGAATGTTGCCATCTTGTGGATGACAACATTCGCCCCATTCTGCTGAGGGGGCTGTTGAAAATCGCCACCCGTAAAAGTTCATTGCGTGGTTATCTCAAAGCAAACAGGTTGTGAAACTAAGAAAATCGTTATCGCTGCCGCCGTGCTGTTATCAGATAATTGTGATAGTGCTTGAAATCGGCGGATTTTTGGAAACCCGGGGGTTGAAGGGGCATTGGGGACGTGCGGCGCGTAATCGACACCGCTGCAACCGCTGTCCAAAATAAACATTGTTGTTTTGATGACCCGTGTAGTCTGCGCAGCAACAACAGCATTCTGTTTCTCTAATGCAACACCAATTAGAATTTATGCAATGAGAACGAGTGAATGTATCTTTGAACAACTTTGAAAATACTGTCTAGTTGGATTTGCTTGCGGGCAAGTGGCGGAGCTCCGTTCTTCGCAAATATGCGACCTTGATTGAGTATGCTCCTAACTTACCTACCAACTTACAAGCTGTACTGTTGCCAGGCTCAATGGAAAACACTTTTGATTGTGTCGTCGGCGGCGTCGGAACGCTGCTGACATAGGTTGACGAAGAGCCGACTCTGGCAAGCAGCCAAATGTCAGATGGGATGAGGCTTTTCGAATGTGGATCGGGAAAATCGCGAAAATCCACGTCAATGCGGTGCTGGCTTTCGTATTTTTGTAACGGGATTGACGGTGGTTATGTTTCTGGCACTTTGTAATCGCCGGTTGGTTAATGGGTCTTTGACTCATTAATGACGTTTTTTCTGTTTTTAAATTGGCGAAAATTTTTGCAACTATGACACTTAAATTTCATAGTTATGTAAACTCCGTTTTAGTATCAAAGAGCGAGTTTCAGAAAAAATAGGGAACAAAAATTTGCAAAGAGACGCTCTTTTGTTCTTCGTGAGTCCATATATAGCTTCTGGTGCAACTTCACCATACTTGTACTCTGGTATTTAATTGTCTAAGACTGTGGCTACTGACGAAGCCAATAGGAAACGAAACGTTGGCGTAACTGTGTGATTTATTTTTGTCACATTTGCATAATCAAATTTTTCTTTCGATGATCTCACGCTGCGATTATTATTGTTGCTAAAATTAATTTGCTATTCAAAGATGCATTTGCATGGGATGGTGCTCAATTATCTTGAATCATTCAATGATTTGCCTAATCAGTATATGTAAAATACGTTGATTTTTACTCCTTTTTGGTTTTGTTGTACCAGTATTATTGTAAAATGCAAAAAACTAGAGCTTCATTTGAAACATTATAAATTATATTTATTCTGGAAGGCGATTAGGTAAAACAAACAACGTTTTTGTCGGATTTTGTATTTGATAACATTTTTTTTTTTTGAAATTTTTTAACATACAAATGTGGTAACAAATAATTTCCTATTATCTAAAATGTATTCACAAGGTGCGAACAAATATACACAATAAAGTTTATTTACAAGTTAATCGTGTCCAAAAATAACTTTAATTTTTTGTTCACTAGTTTTTTGAGCTGTGTATGACAAAGTTTACTCATTTTCTAGTAAATTCGAATTAGAAAATGTTTGTCATTAACAATGAAAAAGAATTTTCAGAAAATATACAGGTGTCCCAGATTCCCTGCTCCACTCAGATATCTCAGATCTCAGTTGATCCATAAAATTAAAGTTGAAATTTGAGAAGAATTAATTAACACAAAAGAAATTATGTAACGAATATATTACTAACATTATGTCACTTTTGGGTTACCTGCAAATGACATCAGTTTTATTGTTTCCAAAAAAATGATATATCCGGCAAATGGCTTCTTTCGTTTTTTTTCCTAGAGTTTGAAAAAATCGGTCTCCCATTTCCTTCTGTCGTCTGTCTGTATCGATTTTTATTCGACAGATGATATTTGAAACTACGGACCAATTTTTGTGAAATTTTACAGGTTTGTATTTTGGGAATATCGTGTAGATGTAGATAGTAAAACCAAAATTTGTCTGATCATCTCCACCAACAATTTGAAGACGTCATCTCAAAATTTATCTTGGTAAACCCCATTTAAAACGTACTTCTGTACTTGTACTGTACGTTTACCGTCTTGAGTTTTCATCACAGACATCCAAATTTTCCCACAAAAAAACAGTATAAGCACAATCCGACCATTACCGTGAAATAATGTAGTGGAAATCGCATGGAACTAATTAGCGGAAGTCTGTGGTTCGATTTTCTCATGAGACTTTTTTTTAACTTTATAGGTTATCATATTATTGATAAAATGGCACAGAAAATTTAAAAAATATGTAACACTAACGCTAGTAGGGTCCATCGGACGAATGGCCACTTTAATGTTTTCTGGACGTGTTATAACTAGAGTACGAAATTATAGGTTTCTAGTCTCCGTCCGTGTGCCTTCCGGCTATACAGATTTTTATTAGACGGATAATCTCCGAAACTACGACCGATTGTCGTACTCCTGTACTTATAGTTTATGAATCCACCTTGATTTTGTTTGTTATTATTATTGTTTTTATTGTTTAAATATTCTTTATACGTGCTTAATCGTCGAACTCTTCCAGTATGTAAACATTCATAACCACAGTTAAGCATATATTGATAATATATGTTTTCTCCTTGGTTGTCTTTTTTAAATACTGCAACCCCTTGCACTTTGCGCACCCCACGGCTCATGGGATACGGGGGTTCACACATTTCTTTATTTTAAGTTATGGGGATTATAATAAGAAATAAATTTGTTAAATGAAATTTTGTAATTTTTCGAAGAAACTATATTCGTTCGACTGTGCTTTAGGAGCGGGGAAAGTTCTAAGTATAAGTAAGTATTTTTGTATCAATTAAGTGCTGAAGTTTCTATCTTTTGAAGTACCTAGGAAGAGAATTTTTTCGTTCGCGAAGTACGATTGCTTTATTCGAAAAATTGTAAAACTTGAATTTTGAATTTGTGTGATAACCCATATAAGTTAAAAAAATTGGTCTAAAGAGTTTAGACAGTACTTCCCTCGCTGTCGGAAACGTGACGACTGCATGCCTATTTTGTTTTTTTTTTCGCAGTGGATTTCAAAGAATTCGGTTTTGCAGTACATGATTAAATCAAAAAAATAAATTTACGCATTCATTAATTTTTTTGAGTCACCCTGTATATGCAAATCCAAAAAATATGAATGGAGTGATAAATTACAAGTACAGACTCATCATATTTTTACAGTTTAGATAGGATTTATTCGGCAAACTTTAGAGCTGACGTCATTAATTTTTTGGAGGGGATAAGCAAATATATTTTGACTAAACATTTATTATGCTCTTTATAACCTTAAAACATCTGCAAAATTTCAAAGCATTCGGTTTTGCAGTACATGATTAAATCAAAAAAATAAATTTACGCATTCATTAATTTTTTTGAGTCACCCTGTATATGCAAATCCAAAAAATATGAATGGAGTGATAAATTACAAGTACAGACTCATCATATTTTTACAGTTTAGATAGGATTTATTCGGCAAACTTTAGAGCTGACGTCATCAACTTTTTGGAGGGGATAAGCAAATATATTTTGACTAAACATTTATTATGCTCATTATAACCTTAAAACATCTGCAAGATTTCAAAGCATTCGGTTTTGTAGTTTCTGAGTAAATCAGTAAAATAAATTTACGCTTTTATTAATTTTTTTGAATCACCCTGTATATGCAAATCCAAAAAATATGAATGGAGTGATAGATCACAAGTACAGACTGATCATATTTTGTACATTTTAGATACGATTTATTCGGCAAACTTTCGAGCTGACGTCATCAAGTTTTTGGAGGGATAAGCAAATATATTTTGACTAAACATTTATTATGCTCTTTATGACCTTAAAACATCTGCAAGATTTCAGAGCATTCGGTTTTATAGTTCCTGATTAAATCAATAAAATATATTTACGCATTCATTAATTTTTTTGAGTCACCCTGTATATGCAAATCCAAAAAATATGAATGGACTGATAAATTACAAGTACAGACTCATCATATTTTTACAGTTTAGATAGGATTTATTCGGCAAACTTTCGAGCTGACGTCATCAATTTTTTGGAGGGGATAAGCAAATATATTTTGACTAAACATTTATTATGCTCTTTATAACCTTAAAACATCTGCAAGATTTCAAAGCATTCGGTTTTGTAGTTTCTGAGTAAATCAGTAAAATAAATTTACGCATTCATTAATTTTTTTGAGTCACCCTGTATATGCAAATCCAAAAAATATGAATGGAGTGATAGATCACAAGTACAGACTCATCATATTTTGTACATCTTAGATATGATTTATTCCACAAACTTTTGAGCTGACGTCATCAAGTTTTTGGAGGGGATAAGCAAATATTTTTTGGCTAAAGATTTATGATGCTCTTTATAGCCTTAAAACATCTGCAACATTTCAAAGCATTCTGGTTAGCAGATTAAAAATTAAATTTCAAAATGTTGTTTTATAATTTTGATTTTTTTTCCAAAAATCTGGACGTTTCGGGTGAAAAGTCAATTCGGAGTTGTAAACTACATGTGTAAGACTATGTTATTTTATACAATTGAAAACCCATTTACTATGTACAATTTTGAAGTGACGTCATCGCATTAGTGGTGGGGATGATTAGACAAATTTTGGTTAGCGTTTTACCATCTACATGATATTCTTAATATAAGTACAAAATTTCACAACAATCGGTCGAGTACTTTCGGAGATTATCTGTCTAATAAAAATCCGGGACGGCAGACGGACAGACAGACGGAAATGGG